ACCACACAAATTTAAAGAAAGTTTAATGCTGCCCAGGTTGTTTTCTCCCCACAGGGAAGCTCTGGCGCCAATAAATTCTGACAATAAATCCCAACGGCATAGGAAACAGAGCTGCCTGGTGGAGACGCTCTCGGGGTTTCTTGTCCTTGAACTGGAACTCTTTCCTGAGCACGCAAAAGGCTGGGGTCAAGTCAAAGCAGGGCAGGGAGTAAGGTCAGGCCTCAGTGCAGTCCTGCTCATGTACTTCTCCTAGGGCACATTTCAACCCCTGCTCCTAAGCCCTACAAACACCACTCCTCTGTGCCCCTCTGCAGGTTCTGTGACTGGTCAGGGAGAGCCTCGTGGGATCCCTCAGATCATACGTGTAAACTGCTCCACCGAGAGTTGTTCAGAGGCTGTGACTCGTGGTGTGTGAAGCACATGCAGGACAGCCAGGGTCCAGCTCTAGGGGGGTGATCAAAACACTGAGCTACCCTTCTGGCCTCCCAGAATCATTAACCAGCAGTTCACGCCACACACTTGTACCCAAAGCCAACCTTGTGCAAAACGACATGCTAGGGAGACACACTCGGGACCAGGGGAACGCGCCTTTGCCTCTTCTCCAACAGGTCCAGGCCAGTGCCCACTGGAACCAAACTTGTCAACAAGTCTTGGGGCTCCCAGGATAGCTGGGCTGTGCTCTGTAGAGGGCAGAGCCAGGACAGTTCACTCTGTTCCCACCACAGATAAAGTTTCCCTTTGGCCTTCTCAATATCCATTGCCAGTCTCTCCAAGGCCTAAAGAATACTTTGTCCCAGATCACAATGACTTGCAGCCTGAATGCCCTTCCCGGTTCCTGGTAGTTTTACTTCCTGGAATGCCGTAGCCCAACTTCTACAGCTGCGCTGTTGTTAAGGGGCTTCCCCTGGATACCTCACAGGTTTGAAACCCTCAAGCCAGCTCATACACCCTTCTCTCAGTGTTGAGCTGACACCAGCACTGTGCCTTTGAAACCTCCAAAACCATGAGCCAGACAGAGCTCCTCTTCCCGAGCAGTCTGACCAGTACAGAGACCCACAGGTCTAACCACAAACTTCCCCAAGTGCATCTTCTTCTGCTCTCCAATTCCTCACTCCTGAGGACCGCCACTACCTGCTCCCAGTGGGTCTCTGCACTGGTCAGCTTCCGGCAACTCGAGTGAAATGCTGACGCGGGGCACTCGGGAAGAGGAGCTCTGTCCAGCTCATGGTTTTGGAGGTCCAAAGGCACAGTGCTGGTGTCAGCTCAACACTGGTGGGCGCCCTCTCTCCCCTCACAGAGGAATGCATGGTGGAAGTGTGCCAGGTAGGCCAAGCAGTGGTAGCCTGACCAGAGGCAGAGAAAGAGGATTGGGGAGGGGGCAGGTTTGCTCCTTTAATAACAACCCTCTCTTGAGAACTCAAGGGTAGCACAAGAACTACCTGCCAAGAGCACGCCCCAGTGACCTAAGGACCTTCAATCAGGCTCCACCTCCCTACGCCTCCACCCTGGGACCAAACCTCCAGTCACAATGGACTCTGGGAACCCTCTCCAGCCTCCCATCATCCACTGAGGCAGGCCACTGGCTTGGCCTTCAAGGCCATCCCAAGTGTGGGTGACCCAGCCTTTTTTAGGTTCATCTCCTGTTCCTCTCCCTTGCCTATGTTCCCTTTTTTTTTTTTTTTTTTTTTTTTTTTTAAGATTGCACTTATTTATTTGAGTGGCAGAGTTACAGACAGAAAGATCTCTCATCTGCTGGTTCACTCCTCAAATGGTTGCAATGGCTGGAGCTGAGTCAATCCATAACCAGGAGCCAGGACCTTCTTCCAGGTCCCCCATGTGGGTGTAGGGGCCCAAGTACTTGGGCTATCTTCTACTGCTTTCCCAGGCCATAAGCAGAGAGCTGATTGGAAGAGGAGCAGCTGGGACATGAACCAGTGCCCATATGGGATGCTGGCGCTGCAGGTGGAGGCTTAACCTACTGTGCCACAGCACCAGCCCCTGGCCTGTGTTCTGATCACACAAGTGCAGTCACTGCTAACCAGTCAGCTCCCACATTCTCACAAATCCATGCTTTGGTCTGGCTTTTTCTTCTGTGTTTTTGTGTGTCACTTATCCCTTCTTCTGGGCCTGCTCCCGGTTCTAGACCCTTCCAAGACCTCCCAGGCAGTGTGCACCTCAGCTGCCACCGTGTTCCCCAGCAGGAATTACTGGAGTCCGGGAGCAGAGCTCTGTCTGCATGAGCCCTCATTTACCACGTGAGGTATGGACACGTGGCCGTCTTGGATTCTTCTTTCTTTATTTGGAGGAAAAGTGGGAATGAAGTCTAATTTTTTCATTGTAATTTTGACTTCTCAAAGAAGATACAAAGTGTTAACATGATGTAATGATATTATTTTACTGTTGCATTTAGTAAATCACTGATTTGGGAACAAAATAAACAACATATATTTTTAAGGTAGTCAAGATGCAACAGTGATAACTAACATGGAACACCAAAGAAAACGCCCTGGGCAGTCTGTTCCACAGAGTCCTTGTGTGCTGAAGGAATGCGAAGAGTTAGCACCAGCGAGATATCCGTAGGAGATGCTGAAGCCAGACCCCGCACTTGTGATGAGCCAGTCAGCTCAGCCGACTCAAGAGAAAAGTCAGGGGCAGTTCCCACTCCTCAGCGTCTCTGCGGTCTGAAGCAGAGACCCGTATTGTGTGCTTGAAAACCCAGGCTGTGCCACGGAGGCTGCGAGCATCCCTCATCAGGCAGCTCAGAGCGCACCCAGGCAAGTGCCACCTGGACTGAGTGAGGGCCACGGCATGGGGCCATTAGGTTCTGGGATCTTTACACTTGGAGAATCTGCCTTGAATTTGATTTTTCTGGATACAAAAATTCATTCAAAATGGATTTAAAAAGTAGAGGCAAGATGTTTTAATATAATTTTGGGGAAAGAAGTCACTCTGAGGGCTGAATTATTAATTGTTTAAATCAATCAAATGGTCTGCCAATATTTACTGTGTTGACCTTTTCTAGTTGTAAAACTTGATTTTTAATAAAACCATTTTATTTTGAAAGAATTTCAAGCATGCAAAAAGATGTGAGTGTAGCAAATCTATAGCTCTGGTTAACATTCACATGTGTAAATCAGTTTCTTTTCCTCTCAACCATTTTAGAGTAAGTTACAGGTGTCACGTCTTGTCAGTCCTTCATATTCTAGCACATACTTCCAAAGAGCAAAAATCTCCTCTTGCAAAGTCACAATCTAGTTATCAAACTCAGGAAACCTATAATAGTGATTTTAATCCACAGACAGGATCCAATGTGTCAGTTGTTTTGATAAGTTCCTAATAGGGGTTTTCCCCCTCCAGTACAGGATCTGGAACAACTAAACTGCATTTCGCTGTTGAGGATTCTTATCTTTTCCACACGTAATATCCCCCCTTTTTAGATCCAGAGGAAAAATACAAATACTGATAAATAGCTACATTTTTATTCCTCCAGAGACCTCCTCACACCAGGAGTTTCACATGCATAAGACACTAAACATAAAATTACTTATTTCTACTTCTTGAGAAAAAACTCAGATTGGAAGGAGAAAGAACACAATTGTATATCTTTACCATAAATGAACTTGAAAAGATTCTGAAACAAAAAAAAGTAGTAGAGCAAAGACTACAGATTAAGAGGCAAGAGTCCCACCTATAAATCCACTACGAAGTCATCTTGCCCATGTTTAGTGGAGAGGGCCCGAGAGAAATCTCCCGAGCATTATATTCCACCAAATACAAACAGAGCACCTGCTGGGCACTGAGTATCCTCCCCAGACAAGCCGCCACTGGATTAAGAACGGACTCAGTACTGGGACACTTCAGACTCCCAGGACGTCTGGCAGCTTGCGGCTGGGAAGGTGCTTGTACGACACAGGGACTGCGAAGCTGCTCCTGGCTAACCTGCTCTGTATCCCTGGGAGATGACTAAAAACTAGGTGCTCCCAGGTATGCAGAGACACACACACTCCGAAACAGAAAGCTCACACACTCTGGGAAGCTTCCAGGAAGCACTGTGCACTGCCTCAGGGACCAGCACCGGCCACGGCACGTGGGCCCTGGCTCAGTAACAAACACTGACGGCCTCCCTCTCCCATTCTGCTGTGCACTTCTTGGCTCAGCTTTGTGACTCCCTGCCTCCAATGGTCTCACTTTCCACTGGGAGGGCTGGCTGGCCCACAGACCTTTCCTGACACGTGTCCTAAGCAAAGGGAGCCTAGGTCCACCCGAGCAGTCACATTGCCAGCTGGCCACTTGTCCAGAGGCACGACCTTGCTTCTACTCCACCTGCCCCTGCCCCTGCCCCGCTGCAGCCCGTCTTCTACCCACTGCCAGAGTTCCTTTTTGCTCCCATAGCATTTGCCCTCACGCGCAGACACCCCCAGGCCAGGGCTGGCCCAGACCACACTGCGGATGTGAGCGCAGAACTGCTGTTCTTCTTGCTCTCCTCCTGTCTGCTGAGTTAATGTCACCAGCAGATGAGGAGCCAAACCACGAAGAGGAGAAATTTAACTTACAAGTAATCATCTGTTTGTGTTGCATGTGAAAACTCACGTAGGAGCAAAAGGATGGATCTGTGATTCCTGGGTTATGTAACACAGATAATCAAGATGGCCTTATTTAAAACAGATGACAATGTAACTAGCAAAAAACCAAACAGCATTGCTTATTAAATTTCTACCTTCAAAACAACTTTTCTCTAGGATGTCCTAGAGAAGGGGTCAGCAAATTATGGATGGCAGATCAAATCTGGGGAAGCTGCCTGTTTTTGTAAATAAAGTTTTACTGGAACACAGGTATGCCCATTTACTTACCTACTGTTTACGGCTGCTTTCCCACTAAAATCATAGAATGGAGACCAGACCAAACGGTCAACAAAGCTGCCACTCTCTGGCTCTATACATAAGAGTGTACCTACTCTGTTTTCAAGCAACAGGCAAGACAAAAGGATCAGAACAAGGTACCTGTTGACTGGCAGGTATTTTCTTGTGACATGGCAGTCGTCACGGTTTCCGTGGCTGCATCTCTGACGACTTGCTCCTCGCTCTGCAGGAGGTTGAGAACACACCTCCAGAGAGCAAGTGTGTCTTGCAACTCTAGAAGACCAAAAGGAATTTGGATTACCCAGGATGCAACTGACAAGCAGGTACAAATGCTACCTCAAACCCACGGTGGGAGGGAGCAGCGCTGAATGGAAACAACAGCTGTTCCTTTTCTCCTGGTGTTGCAAGATATGAAGACTTGAGAGAGAGAGAGAGAGAGAGAGAGCGAGCGAGCTCTAGGTGGGCAGGTTAGGAAGTATCTTCTCTGGGCATGGGAGAGAGGGCAGGTCTTCTTGGGGCAACCAGCCCCAGGAAGGCCCCCAGAAGGTGCTGCCTGGGTACAAAAGCTTTAGGCCTAGCTGTTCCCAGGGTGTCATGATTCTCAAAACTCAAATTTTATGCATTAAGAGTGCTTTGAGGAAACCAGCCCCATGTTAACCTGAGTGACTGAACTTAGAAATTCTTTATTTCTTTAATGATGGAAAGTTGAAATAATTTTAAAATATTTATTTATTTACTAGAGTGTGGGGGGAGAGAGAGAGAGAGAGAGAGAGAGAGAGAGAATGAATCACCCATCCACTGGTTCACATCTCAAAAGCCTACAATCGCTGGGGCTGGCCCAAACCAAGCCAGGAGCTGGGATCTATCCAGATCTCCCATGTGGGTGGCAGGAACTCAATTACTGCTGCTTCCCAGGGCCTGCATTAGCTGGAAGCTGGATCAGAAGAGGAATCAAGACTTGAACCCTGGCCCTCTGATATGGGGTGTGGGTGTCTTAACCACTAGGCTAAAGCTCACTTGTGAGCTTACACATTCTGACAACAAATTATCATTCCAGATTATGTTTTGGGGGTAAGAATCACAAAAGGATCAGGGCCCAGGATAAGGGCAGCAGCCCGTGTCACTGTCTGTGGGGTCCACTACCTGAGTGCCATTGCTCCTGGGCACCGTCTGACGGCCTGTGCCAAGTACCGTCATGGATGACAAACAAGAAAGCAGAGCCCAGACACGGCGGTGAGTAGTCCAGAATGAAATCCTGCAGCTGTGACTCACAGCGGACTGCTGAACTGAGACAAACTTCCTGAGGGCGGGTGGAGGAGGGCGAGGTGCTGAGAGGACACCTGTGGTACAGGTGGGGTGGGGCTGGCTTGGAGCGGGTCTCCATGCAGGGCCAGAGAAGACCACCACACAGCATGGCTATCCTTTCAGCAGGAGGCAGGCCTGTCCTCGGAACCCTCCCCTCCTTCCCCGATGTGTCCATGGGGAATCCGACACCAGAGTCAGAAACACTGCAGTCAAACCAAGAACAGCAACGGCTCCACATCGGGTTTCGTTTTCGTCTTTCAGTTACAAGCCTGGCTTTACATTTTGCTCAGTCTTTCAGAATCTGCCCTTTCTAATTGTTCTCTGGGGTTTAACACTTCCTTTCCTGAACATTTCCTCCTTTAATACAGCCAGTTGTACCTGAGATCCTTCCCTGCTTAGTCGGTTTCCTTTTTATTAATGACTTTGCACTGCCCTTGGTTTATCCTCATGCACGCTTATGTCTTTTTTCAAAAGATTTATTTTATTTATTTGAAAGTCAGAGCTATGGGGGACTTGGGGGTCAGAGAGAGAGAGAGAGAGGTCTTCCATCCACTGGTTCACTCCCCAGATGGCTGCAATGGCCAGAGCTGGGCCAGGCCAAGCCAGGAGTCAGGAGGTCCATCCAGGTCTCCCACATTGATGCAGGGGCCCAAGGACTTGGGCCATTTTCTGTTGCTTTCCCTAGTGCATTAGCAGAGAGCTGGATCAGAAGTGGAGCAGCTGGGACTCAAACTGACGCCCATATAGGATTCTGGCAATGCAGGTGTTGTTTAACCTGATATGCCACAACGCTGACCTCTGCTTATGTCCTTTGTCTCTCAATTCTTTTTTTTGTTTTAAGATTTATTTATTTATTTGAAAGGCATGGGGCCAGCACTGTGGCGTAGGGGGTAAAGCTGCCACCTGCAGTGCTGGCATTCCACATGGGTGCTGGTTTAAGATCTGGCTGCTCTACTTCCAACCCACCTCTCTGCTATGGCCTGGGAAAGCAGTAGAAGATGGCCCAGGTCTTTGGGCCCCTGTACCTACATGGGAGTCCCAGAGGAAGCTCCTGGCTTGTGGCTTTGGATCGGCACAGCTCTGGCCATTGGGGCCATCTGGGGAGTGAACTAGCAGATGGAAGACCTCTCTCTGCCTCTCTGTAACTCTGCCTTTCAATAATAAATAAATAAATAAATGTTAAAAAAGGAGATTATATATGGAAAATTGTTTTCTAAAAAAAAGGCAGTTATGGAGAGATAGAGAGGGGAGGGAGATATCTTCCATCTGCTGGTTCACTCCTCAAATACCTTCAACAGCTGAGGCTGGGCCAGGCCAAAGCCAGGAACCAGGAGCTTCTTCTGGGACTGCCACATGGGTACAGGGGCCAAAACACTTGGGCCATCTTCCACTGCTTTCCCAGGCATATTAGCAGGGAGCTATATGGGAAGTACAGCAGCTGGGACTTGAACCAGTGCCATATGGGATGCTGGCACTGCAGGTGGCAGCTTAACCCACTGTGCCATAGCACCAGCCCCTGTCTCAGTTCTTGCAGGCCATTAGCCACCATGGATCACCCTCCTCACTTCTGTAATGTTCTACTGGATCAGCAATTCAGTACAAACCAATGGCCTTTGCCCAGGACTCAATCACACCCAGCAATGCTAGGTTGTTCCACACACATTTTGCTGGTTCTGAGCCATGATCAGAGTTGTTGAAGTCACCAAGAAAAGGTGCTACAAAATGCTATGCATGTCATGGAGGAGCATGACCAAAGTCTGTAAACTTTGTTCTTCTGCCTCTGCATCTAATCACACACCACACGCATGGAAGTCCCCTGTTAGTCCTCCCTCACAGGGTAAGAAAATTGGCTGGAAGTCACTGAGAAGAAAAAGGGTATCAAAGAAAAGTTTATGAACAGAAGAAATCCAGGAAAGTGAGACATTTCTTTGGTCTGAATTCTTAGAACACATAAAATCTGAATCTCAAACTCTGAAAAACAATCCTTCCCTTTCGTCTTTAATACCAAAAGCTTCTTGGAGGCAGGTGCCATGTCTTATTCCTGAAGGCTGGCCGTGGAAGAGGTAAACAAAAATGGGATTCCACTGACGGAGGGGAAGACAATCACGGCACAACAGCAGGGATTCAATATGGCAGGAGAGGGCCGCACCATGATTGAAGCCCAGTTTTAGGTCCTGAATTTTACTTTTTATTAAAACCTATGATTTAAAACAAAACAAAAAGCTTTGCTGCCTGCAACACTGGCATCCCATATGGGTGCAGGCTTGAGTTCCAGCTGCTGCACTTCCTATGCAGCTCCCTCCTAACGTACCTGGGAAAGCAGCAGAAGATGGCCCAAGTACTGGGGCCCTCCCACCCACGTGTGAGACCTGAAAGAAGCTCCTGGCTCCCAGCTTCAGCCTGGCCCAACACTGGCTGTTGCAGCCATTTGGGGAGTGAACCAGCGGATGGAAGATCCCTCCCTCCATCCCTCTCTCTCTCTGTAATTCTGCCTTTCAAATAGATAAATAAGAGATAAAAAGAAAACAAAACAAAAATCCAAACAATAGAATTTTGAAAATTAAAACAAACAAGCTCCTATGTTTTTCAGTTCCTGAGGATTTCTTCAACCCTAGTTTTTTTTGTTTTTGTTTTTGTTTTTTTTAATTAGCAGTTTAGGGGTGGTGGGAAGAGATACCAAGAAAGATCTTCTGTCCACCGGTTTATTCCCCAAATGCTCACAGCAGCTGAGGTGGAACCAGGCTGAAGCCAGGAGCTGGGAACTCCATCTGGGTCTCTGATGTGGGTGGCAAGGACCTGACCCCTTGAGCCATTGCCACTGCCTCTCAGGGTCAGCAGTCTGCTGGCATCAGGAGCCGGGACTGGGTGTCAGACTCAGGCCCTCCAATGTGGGTCCAGACTAAACGCCTGTTTCCCAAGCTCGGCTTTCTTAAACATGCCTGATGCAATCAATGCCTTTCCTAATTATTACTCTTGAAACAGACAGTGGTCGTAAGAAAAGAGACATGGAAGGGAAGAACAAGACTGGAAAACGGCTGAGACCTGTACAGCCATCTGATCTAAAACCTGTCCCTAAGATGCCCTCAACTTAACACCAGATTCAGGGAAAGGAAGCAACGGCCTAACCAGCCACTTAAGCTGGAAGCCTGGATTCACCCTGGAGTCCTCCTTTTGTCTCGACTTCAACACTGAGTCCTGGTGACTCTCCTTCTGAAATAATGTGGAAGCCGTCCTCTCTTCTTCCTCACTGCCACGGCTCCACCCTGACCCCGGCACTTCTCACTCTTACTGAGACAGGCTTCCTGGAAGAGGGCACAGTTCGGCGCAGCCTTGCAAGCTAAACAGAAGGCAGTCAAGCAGTGGTTTGTTTATGGAGCACTGCTCCCTGCTGATGACGCATGGGGCCATGGTGGGGAGAGGTGCATGGTGAAGTGGGAGGGGTGGGCCAGGGACACACCAGGAAGGGCCCTATGAACCATGTTAAAGGGTGCTTAGGTTTTATCCTGAAGGCAATGGGAACCCACTCAAAGGTTTAAGCAGTAGATGAAATGATTCGATTTGCATTTCAGAAAGACCACAGCAGCTCTTTGGAAGCTTTGTGGAGAATGGCTTGGGGGATAAGACCGAGAGAACAGAGGCGAGTTAAGAGGCTGTTGGTGGAAGTGATTAGAGTGTGAACTGAGACAGTGGGAATGCACTGAAACCTGGGCCTGCGCGGTGATTCTGCCTTTAGTCATCTTTCCTTCTTTTTCGGCTCAAAGAATCTACCTCTAGGTACAATGGTACTACAGACCCCTCCCCCAGCACCCCCACACCCAGCACACTTACCTAGAGGGGGCTGGGGGTTGGTGAGGAACAGCGGCGTGGTGCTGGTGAGGACGTGCGCAGCAGCCAGCCTGGACTCTGTGGGCAGATGGTCTCCACAGGACAGGACCACCAGCCGAACCCACCGCTTCAGCTCCGGGGCTATGGAGTGCCTGCTCTGAAAGCACACAATGTAGCCATGAGGAGCTCCCAATGCAACCTTGGGCTGACATGGGGTTAGGGTGAAGCCACACCAAACTGGCTGCAAATTAGTCTCCACTCAGTGGAAGTTAGTTCAGTTGCTTTTCTATTCCAACTAGAGAAAAAGACACAAGCCTGAGGAAGGAAATCTGATTTGTCTCTCAGTAACATGGAATCACTAGAACTTGAGAGAAAGTTCTTTTCACAACATCACTGTACTTGACAGCTTCAGTAAAGGCCAAATTTATGGGGAAGCCTTGGGTAGCAAATAACTCCTGGTCCCTAACAACCGATCTTCAGGAACAGAGCCCAAATTCTGGCACCCCTCTGAAGACCACACTTGGCAGCTTCCCTTGCAGCTGGGTTAAGTTCTACCTAATGGATGCCACTGGAGTAGAAGCTGCATCCCAGGGAAGTAACCATGATCTGCATTTCCAGGGTTTCCTTTTGCTGCTAGTTGGGTAAGGACAAGATGGGGGAGCTGGATCAACCCCTGTGACCATAAGATGGAAGCCACAGGGACCCAACACTGTCAGGCCACTATATCTACCATGGACTGCTTCTATCTGGCTTAAGCTACAATGTTTATGAATTTATGTAATATTTATACCAGGGGCTGGCATTGAGTGTAGTGGGTTAAGCTGCCACCTGTGACACTGGCATCCCACATGGGTGCTGGTTCAAGTCCCAGCTACTCTACTTCCAATCCAGCTCCCTGCTCATGTGCCTGGGAAAGCAGAGGAGGATGGCTCAGATGCAATGGGACCTGGTCACCCGTATGTTAGACCCAGAAGAGGCTCCTGGCTCCTAACTTTGGCCTGGCCTGGCCCCAGCCATTGTGGCCATTTGGGGAGTGAACCAGCAGATGGGGTATCTCTCTCTGTCTCTCTCTTTCTGTAACTCTACCTGTCAAATAAATAAATCTTTTTAAAAAATTTATAGCAATATACTAAAACTGTCTAAACAAAGCCCTGTTGTTGTTTTTCACAGTAACAGCTTTATTAAGACATAATTCATTTATCAGACAATTCACCCATTCAAAGCCAATGGACTTTGGGGTATTTGCAAACACACACAACCACTGCTACAGTCTATTTTAGAACCTTTTCATCTCCATAAAAAGAAACCATGTACCCTGTAGCTATCATGTCCCCACCCCCCCCTTTCCCTTGGCCTTAAACAACTACTGATCTACTCTCTATCTCTATGTGTGTGCCTGACTGACTTCTTTCACTTAGCATACTGTATTCAAGATTCATCCATGATTCAGGGTATATAAATAATTTCTTTTAATGGTCAAATAATATTCCATTGTAGAATATACCACATTTGGTTTACTCACCCATCCATTGACAGGTATCTGCATTGTTGTCATCTTTTAAATTTTATTTTTTTTTCCTTTTTCTAAAAATAGGGTTGTTATTCCACATGTACTTTGGTTCCTGCTATGGTTTGACTGTCCCCTCCCAAACTCCTGTTGAAATTTCATTGCTTCTGTGGTAGTACTGGGAGATGAACACTGGAGAGGCCATGAGGTCATGAGGCTGGGGTCCTCATGCAGGGATAAGCGCCATTACTACAGGAGCAAGCTGCTTATCATGGGAGTGGCCTTGCTATGAAAAAAACAGCTCTCTTGCATTGGCCCTCCCCCTCCCCCTCCCCCTCTCCCGCTCTCTCTCGCAGTGTGATGCCTTCTCCCGCTCTCTCCCGCGGTGTGATGCCCTCTGACATGTTATGACATGGCAAGAAGGTCCCTGCCACATGCTGCTATCACGGTCTTGGACGTCCCAGCCCCCTGGACTGCGAGAAGTAAAGTTCTTTCCTTTAGAAATCACCCAGTTCCTGGGATTCTGTTATAGCAGCAGAAAACGGATGAAGACACGTCCTCTATCAACCGAGGCGCTTTCAGTATTACATATGAAAGACATTAAATAATAAATATAAAAGATATGAAAGATCTGATTTGTCAGATCACCTCCGGCACTCAGCTGATGGCACCTCAGGCCTTGAGGAAGGTGCTAACTCCCAATGCACAAAGGAGCCTAGGTTCCTCCAGGAACTTCTTTATGTGTTTCTCCACAATTCTGTTTGGTTTCCTCTTCCTAGAAAGCTCCCAATTTTCACTGAGTATCACTTCATTCAAGTATCAAGCGGTGACTTCAGTTGCCCATGACAACTAAAAGTAGCATTAGATCAGAATGATGTCTTTGACGGACTTACTAGGCTGTCTTGGCCTACTTTCTTCCAAACTCCTCCACCCTCACCTCCTGCATGTCTCCTAGGTTTAGCTCCTCCCCTGCCTTTGAATAACAGAGCCAAGGAAATTGTTTCCCTGTTGCTATTTCTCATTCTCTGGTTTTATCTCCACCAAGCCCCAAGCTCTCTGAATTTAACAGTCTCCTCTATGATGTCTTCCTCTGCCCCCCAGGACCCCTCCCTCCTCTGGTTCCCAGAGCCCTTGCCTGCCTCCCTAAGAGGGCATCAGATGCTCTACTCTCTTGCTCATTAGATGCATACCTCCAGTCTCCGCTCAGCTTTGTGCCTCAGTGCTGGGCTTACTGCTGGAACTCAGAATCTACAATGTTATGCCCCCGCTATCACAGGATGGTAGTGGTAATCCATATCTTTTATTGTGGGACTGTCTGCCTCCCACTGGTAATTCTGCGATGGTGGGATCTTTCTTGTCTACTAAGTATGCGTATATCTGTCTTGAGGCATCTTCCCAGGAATTACATGCTTGCTTTAGTTCCAGTTCCTCCCCAGAGGACATCCAAAACAGGTGGCACACACATGAGCCTGATGCAGAGTCAGTTGGATTCAGGAGCCTGCAGCTTCTTCCTGCGTCGCCCAGGTGGGTGCAGGGGCCCAAGCACTTGATCTATATTCCACTGCTTTCCCAAGTACATTAGTAGGGACTTGGATCAGAAGCAGAACAGCTGGTCTTGAACCAGCACCCATATGGAATGCCGGTACCAAAGATAGAGGCTTAACCAGCCAGCTTCTGGCAACAGATTTTCATACTTAGATCAGTAGGTTGCAATCCTAAATATCCTTGGAACTGACTTGTTTATTCTTCTTTAATAAAGAGTTAAGTTAGAAAAATGAAGGAAAACAAGGGGTTTGAACATATGTGGACTGTGGGGAGGCTGTGTTACTAGCCTCACAGATTAATGAAAAATGCCCAAGACCAGAGCAAAGAAAGGCAGGGCACAAAGACTCCACAAATCATACCTGAAGTGGAAAACCCACATGTCATAGTGATTCCGACTGCCTGAGATGGTTTGCTTCTATGGACACCCTTGAGAGCACAAAACCCAGCCCCAGGATGCAATCAGTCTTACCTCTTCATGTGCCTGCAGGTGGTGGGCAATCACTTTGGAGGCAAGTCTCAGAGCTACACTCTGAATTTCAAATCTTGAAAAAAGGAAGCAAAAACACATACACACATACACAAAATGAAAATCAAATATTTTATATGCAGATGGATTTTGTAGATAATCTGTAATTCAGACATATGTGAACACTGGAAATCTCTACCTCCTGGCTACACAAATGCTTCCAGAAGCAATTAATATTTTGTTATTAATGTGAAACTCTGATATCATTCTATTGCTTGAGTTTAGAACATGGCTCCCCGGCTGACACTAGAAAGAAATACAGTACGTAAGCCCTTAGGCTAGAACTGTGTGCAAGCTCATGCCATAATGACAGATGGGCTCACACATCCCACCTAGGCTGCACAGGGAACGCTGGGCGCAAACCTTTCATTGGAAGCAATATCCATGGTCCAGCTCAGGAACTCCCTTGGGGTTAGATGGACACAGTGTTCTGTCTGGGGAAGCCACTCAACAGGGTCCAAGCAATGGAGAATTTTCAGTATCTGTGAGAGTCAAATCCATGAAAAAAAGAAGGGAAGAAAGACTCAGAGGCAAAGTCTCCAGATGTCAAATAATAATCACTTACACTGATGAGAGGGTCTATCTTTCCAAAGGCTTCAGGGACTGCCCATTTTCCTGGTAAGACTCTTGGCAGACTGGGATAGGGTACAGCAATGGCAAACCTAATGGTCCCTCTTGACTTGGGATCACAGGCGGACACCCAGATTCCCAAGCCAGTACTCTTTACTGCTGATGGTGCTTTCCAGACAGCCGTCTGCATCCAAACAGGCATGTCGGCAGAGACTTCCTCGAACACCTGCTATGGTTAGTTTCTAATGATTTGCTTCCTAGACATCCCAGAGTGGCCTGAGAGTGGCAGAGAGTTAATGTCCACCATCAACACCACTGTTGTTGACAGCTTTCTTAGCACTGTTCAGACTGAAGCTATGACAAGTACTGTACAAAGAGAGCCCTTACCTTCTGGAGGCTGATTGCCCCTAGAGAGCCCCAGCCCATGCTAACCTTCATGGTGCTTCACCAAAGAATGGAGGGCGTGGAAGGGGTTGGCCAGCACACCAGGCGCTTTACCTTGCAGAAGCATTCTGGGCAATTTTCCTTCATTGCCAACAGCAGGAACTTCTCGCCCATATTGCACAGCAAGGGTTGCAGTTCTTTCTCTTCTGAGCCACAGGCTACTGAAGACAACCTTTCCAACAGGGCCTCCAGGGTCAGCAGGCGCACTTCAGGAAAGGACGACTCCAACAGCTGAGAGAGGGAGATCGGAACATCCCTTGGATGCTCTCCAGCCTTGGCCTCTGCTGCCCACACTGCAGCAATGGCTAGTTTGGTGAGGCTCTGGAGGTACTGGGACAGGCCTGGCACCTTGGAGGTACAAGGGAATCCTGTTATCAGCTCTGATCCTGAAATGATTCCTCTGACTTCTTCCCAGAAGCCGAGACTCTCCAGAACTAGAAAGCAAAGAAAAAAAGCAAGGGAAATAGACAATCACGTTACTCAACTTTCCACAAAAGCACGTAGGACAATGGAAGGCTCTGAATACACTAGATGGGGCCGTTAGATGTTATTCTTGAGGAGATTTCAAACAAGGTGGTGAGGGACTAGCCCCCTAAGGTTCAGGCTCCAGGCTCAGAAGCAATTCCTATCCCAGCAAGTGGCAGGCATTACCATCAGATGTGCTCATGGCACCACCCTCGACATTCCACTAAACATGGACCCAGTGACTCAAGAGCCTCAGTGGTGACCAGGAGAAAAGGGCATCTAGTCCTGACTTCCTTCAGGGGCTCAAGTCTCCTCTACAGCACCCACTTCCCAGAGGCTCTAGGTTGAGTCCTACGGTGACTTAGAGCTCATGAGTCATCATTAGCTGATCTAACTGTCACAACGTTCTTAGAGACCCACTCGAGCCTCCCCGAGGAATAGCTCCTTAGGCATTTGATTACAATCATTGTGCCCGACTTCTCCAAATGGAACATCTCACTCCCTTCCCCATGGGGGCAGGGAGGGGGGGCTTCACCTCCTCTCACTATTGCAGCTGCCCTCCTTGGACAGCCCTGGCCCATGGAATGGATCATGGCTCTCTGGCAGGACCACTGCTTTCTGTGTTCAGCACACTAGGTTACTCGTGTTACTAGGTGCCTCGTGTTGTTGACTCATATGGAGCGCAAAGTCAACTGAAACCACAGCCCTTCTTCTTTCACATGGTCTACTCGATGGTGGTGAGTCATTCTCCCACCTTACACTCCGGTACTAAGGTCAAGACCCGCTTTCTTTGTTTGTTTTAAACCCAAGTATATCCCTGTTAAATTTTATCTCTCTGTTAAGTTTTCTGGTCTGCCTTTTAGTTGCTGAGATCTTTTCATAGTCTTAGTTTTGATTAAAAAACAAAAAAGCAACCTATTGCCTGTGTACTAGGTGCTAAGTAAAATAAGGTCACTGCCTTTAACGAGTTGATAGTTTAGTTTCAGAAAGAGAATTTACGAACAAATAATTCCACTAAGTAGTATAAACGATAATTTGAATCTCAAAGGAAAACAGAGGGAAAATACATTAGAACCAAAAGGTAGAGGAATCACCTGAGCAAAGGTTCAACAGCATGAAACAGAATGGACCACACCGGGAAGTACGTGCTGACACCACACAGCATAAACTGTGACGTGGGGGAGAGCAGGAGACACGGCTGGGTAAGAAATACGATCAAGACACACCGAGCTTCCTGGACCACGAGGAGGAACTTGGTCATTCTTCTACAGGCCAGGGAATGCGGTCCTGGGGTTACTGTAAACAAAACCAGGTGAACAATGTCCTGGTGGTGTTCTTATGCCTGAGTGTCAGTACAAAGCAGGGAAAGCAGCTAAAGGCCCACTGCAGTGGTCTCAGAGAGCCATGACAATGGCCGCAGCAAGGGAGGGACCACGGTTTGATGTCCTCTCCAAAACTCATGTTGAACCTAGGCTGCCACTGTAACAGAATCAAGAGGGGATCGTCAAGAGGTGATTAGACCATGAGGGCTCCACCCTCTTGAAGAGGTCAGTGCTGTCACTGTGAAGCTGAGTTGGCAGTGACCGTGACAGTGTGTCTGGGAGGCGTTCGAACCTCTCTTGCCTTCTTGCTTGCACGTCCTCCAAGTTATATTCAGTGTGAAGGCCTCACCAGATGCAGCTTGTGATCTTGGACTTCCCAGTCTTCAGAACCATGAGCAAATAAACTTTATTTTTCTGTATTTATTTTTTAAAAAGATTTTATTTATTTGAAGGAAGAGAGAGGGCGGCAGGAACCCGAGTACCTGGACCATCCTCTGCTGTCTTCCAGGCACATTAGCAGAAAGCTGAGAAGCTGTAACTTGAATGAGTGCTTTGATATGGGACGAGGGTATCCCCAAGCAGCAGCTTAACACACTGCACCACAACGCTCACCCCAACTTCTGTTGTTTATAATGTGCCCGGGCCGTGATCCTCTGTTGTAGCAGCAGAAAATGGGCTGACACAGAAGAGATGGGGAGAAGGCGGGTGTAGCAGTCACTGAAGTGATAAAACTGGCAGGACTCAACAGGGCAGGAAGACTTGAGGGAGAGCTGTGGGTACCTCTCAGGACCCGATTCCTCAGGTAACACATTTGTCATCCAGCAGCAACTGGATAAATCTCAGTTTCACAGAATAAAAGCCACATCACCCCATTACTAAAAATGTTCACTGTGCCAGGACGGGGAAAGAGCCATTTAGGGGTATTAAAGCATGCCCCTGCCTGTGCCAGCCTCTGACCCCACTCTGAACTCTCACCAACTTGTTAACTAGCCCTCTTTGGTTCCAGTTATTTCTCAGTTTTGAATTTTCCTAACTGTACCACTTTACCCACAGTGTTTTATCTACAAGAATATGAGGGCTGACTTCATCAATTGCCTGGCTGAAATTTGGACATGGGATTGGTACTGTTCTCTGACTGATAATTCCATCCTTTAGAAAACTACCATAACATAATAGAGATCACAAAAACATCTGGAAAAACTTACCTGAAATGAAAAGTAGCATAGGCTGGGGCCAGTGTTGTGGTACAGAGGGTTAAGCCACCTCCTAAGACACCAGGATCCTATTATCAGAGTGCCAGTTCAAGTCCTGATTGCTCCAATTCTGATCCAGGTCCCTGCTAATGCACCTGGGAAAGCAGTGGATGCTGGCCCAAATCCTAGTGTCCCTGCCACCCATATGGGAGACCCAGATGGGGTTCTAGGCTCCTGGCTTTGGACTGGCCCCACTTCAGCCACTGTGGCCATTTTGGGAGTGAACCAGCAGATCGAAGGTCTGTCTCTCTGACTCTTCCTCTCTCTGCCTTTCAAATAAATTAATCTCTTTTAAAAGTAGCACAGACTAGCAATAATCCAGAAATTTAAAATATAAAATATAGAATATTCATGTAACACACAAAATTGTTTCAAGAAGTCTGCCCCAGGAGACAAACTGGGGACTGGTCTCAAGCTCCCACATGGGAGTACCCCATGGAGGCCACCATCCACCACCTGCAGTTGCAGACACACCTTTGCTCTTAACTCAGACTCCGCAGAAGTCCCAGCTGAAGCTAGAAGCAGTCTTCTTTATAAAGCATCAGCTAGGATCCTCAGCCTTGTGTCATCTCTGTGTCCAATGCCTATAAACCTAATCCCACCGTGGTCTGCAGGTACCTCACCCCTCCCTCTCCCACCTACTGCTGCCGGAGGACAACACTGCATTTAAAAGGAATTTCATGGTGCTGGCGTTGTGGCATGGTGGGTAAAGCCACCGCCAACATCTCACATGGGTGGCAGTTCGTATCGCAGCTGCTCCACTTCCAATTGAAGTCCCTGCTAATGTGCCTGGGAAAGCAGTGGAGAATGGCCAGCTGCCACCCATGTGGGAGACCCAGCTCAGCTCAAACCACTGCTGCCATTTGGGGAGTGAACCAATGGATGGAAATCTCTCTCTTTTTCTCCCACCTCTCTCTGTAACCCACCCTTCCTTCCTTCCTCCCTCCCTCCCTCCTTCCTTCCTTCCTTCGATGGACAGATCTCTCTCTTTCTCCCCACCTCTCTCTGTAACTCTGCTTGCTTGCTTGCTTGCTTGCTTCCTTCCTTCCTTCCTTCAGATTTATTTATTTGAAAGGCAGAGTTACAGAGAAGCAGAGGCAGAGAGAGAGAAAGAGGTCTTCCATCTACTGGTTCACTCCCCAAATGGCCGCCATGGCTGGAGCTGAGCTGATCCGAGGCCAGGAGCCAGGAGCTTCTTCCGGGTCTCCCACTAGGGTGCAGGGGCCCAAGCACTTGGACCATTTTCTACTGCTTTCCCAGGCCATAGCAGAGAGCTGGTTCAGAAGTAGAGCAGCCAGGACTTGAATTGGCACCCATATGGGATGCTGGTACTACAGGTGGTGGCTTTACCCACTACGCCACAGTGTAGCCCCTGTGCCTTTCAAATAAAAATGTTAAAAAAAAAAAAAAGGAGTTTCATTTGTTGGCAAACATGGCTGAGAGATCTGTTCTTAAAAATGTAGTAAAAAATAAGACAAAGAGTAGGGCCATTCTGGATAATTTCAGAGGAACCTATTATCTGAAAGAGTTTTCCAGGTAGGGGATGCAGTCTGTTGGGCCCCAGAGGCCCACCTGCTTCCTCTGGGGCTTCAAAGAGGGATGATGTCCCCCAAACCAGGGATGAGGGTGCCACCCTAAAGAAGGAGGCACGGACTATGCTCAGGGAGGGCTCCATTGTAGGATAATTTGATTAATGTTTCCTGAGCATGTATTAGGTACTCCGAGATTCAGAGACTCAGAGTTGAGAAGGAAAATGATCTGTTATTAAGGAGATTTAAGACTAATGGGAGGATAAATGACAAGTTCAGAACAATAATAATTGTAAGACAAAAACAACAATTACAAAATGCTTAGTGCTCTCCAATTTTTAGGGGTAAAAGCTGACTTGTGTGAAGTGCAGTTGGCCCATGGTATCTGGGAGATTGGTTCCAGGATCCCAATGCTCAGCCCCTTCCTTATATAAAACGGCACAGTGGGCTGGCGCCGCGGCTCAATAGGCTAATCCTCCGCCTTGTGGCGCCGACACACCAGGTTCTAGTCCCAGTCGGGGCGCCGGATTCTGTCCCGGTTGCCCCTCTTCCAGGCCAGCTCTCTGCTGTGGCCAGGGAGTGCAGTGGAGGATGGCCTAAGCGCTTGGGCCCTGCACCCCATGGGAGACCAGGAGAAGCACCTGGCTCCTGCCTTCGGAAGCGCGGTGCACCGGCTGCGGCGGCCATTGGAGGGTGAACCAACGGCAATGGAAGACCTTTCTCTCTGTCTCTCTCACTGTCCACTCTGCCTGTCAAAAACAAACAAACAAAAAACAAAAACAAAAAAAAACCCGGCATAATGGTTGCAAATAACCTAAGCATATGCTCTTGCATACTTTAAACCACATCTAGATTACTTATACCT